AAAGATGAAATGAATCATTCTTTATTTTGTAAACCAGTAATAATTGTCTATAAATTTCATTTTCAGAGTGAGCATAACATTCGTCAGAGCAAATGGAGAGAGAATCAAAGCAAAAGGAAAAGTTGGTGATACCATACTGGACATAGTAGTGAATAATGAGATCGATCTGGATGGATATGGTATGTTTCGAATAAGTATAATATCTTTTTAAGCTGAGCTCGCTAATATAATAATTGTATAGGTGCTTGCGAAGGAACATTAACTTGTAGCACATGTCATTTAATATTTCCAAAAGAGGTATATGATGCACTTCCAGATAAACCAACGGATGAAGAATTAGATATGTTGGATTTAGCATATGAATTAACAGACACGTAAGTTGATATTAGCTTCATTTTTAAATCCTATAGAATAAAATATATTCAATATTCAATTTTTTGATACCTAAATATGAGAACAAGTGAGATCTTGTTATGAAGGTAATTAACAAATTTGAACATAAGCAATCAGCATGAGATTGATTAAGATGAGATCATCAGCAGAATAACTTGTATTGAAAGTAGTGCTGGGCACATGCGTGAAAAGCATCAGGCGAAAGTTTCACCAGGCGTTAGAGGCCTGAATATGTTAACTGATTTAGCACATTTTTACTCCATATCTAATTTTCTCAACTCTCACCAAACACCAGACTCGTGTTATAAATATTACATAAGCCGGAGATAGAATTTCATATGCAATGATTCTCGGTCGGTGTTGTCTTTATCTTACTCGTATTTCAAACTTTTCGTGTAGAATTTGAACTTATTTGAATTCTTGATTCACAATGGGTCTGCGTATTTTCTTTTAAGTTAGTTTTGTTACGTAAACAAATATTTGCATCAATCTGTCCATGATATATTTAAAAGATTCCGTTTAAGTTAGAGTTCTGAACTTAAAAAATAGTAATTTACGAATTTCTTTATTTATTTCAGCTCACGTTTAGGTTGTCAAATAGTAATGACTAAAGACTTGGATGGAATCGAGGTAAGAGTTCCAACAACAATCAATGATGCGAGAGCATAACCAGAATTGAACATAGATTTTTAGATATTTATACAAGGATGCCTGTTGCAATTGTTGAAACATTCGAATTGATAGTATAAAATAAAAGACTTTATACATACGTGTAGTGTAACTAAAGTACGTTATACATAGAGATAATTAATCATGTAAAGCTCATTTGTTATGGTTTTATAAGTACACTGTAAAAAATCTGTAATTA